ATGACCCGTGACATGCTCGCGAGCCATTGGTTCCCGACCCGACCCATGGGTCACGGGTCATGGGATCCGTGACCCGTGAAATTTATCTTCAAAACTAATTTCTGTTTACTTTAAAATGACACAGTATTATTAAGCAATATCACAAGTATTTTAAAATCAGTTCCAAACTGATTTATTATTATAAAAAACAAATTTCAACTCAAAATTGTCTGGGAGCCATATGCCGTCACCGGAAGAGCCATATATGGCTCGCGAGCCATAGGTTCCCGACCGCTGCTATAGCAGTAGCTACTAACTCTACAGTAGTATATACTGACTATAGTCATATCTACTAACTCTATATTCGTATCTACCGACTTGATAGCAGTATCTACGATCACTACAGTATGTACTAGCTGTAGTAGTCGCTATTTTCACTACATTAGTAAGTACTGGCTGTAGTAGTAGCTACTATCACTAGAGTAGTATGTACTGGCTGTAGTATTAGCTATTATTACTACAGTAGTAAGTACTGGCTGTAGTAGTAGCTACTATCACTACAGTAGTAAGTACTGGCTGTAGTATTAGCTACTCTCACTACAGCAGTAAGTACTGGCTGTAGTAGTAGCAGCTACTATCACTACAGTAGTAAGTACTGGCTGTAGTAGTTGCTACTATCACTACAGTAGTAAGTACTGGCTGTAGTAGTAGCTATAATCACTACAGTAGTATGTACTGACTGTAGTAGTAGCTACTATCACTACAGCAGTAAGTACTGGCTGTAGTGATAGTAGCTACTATAACTACAGAAGTACTGGCTGTAGTAGCTACTATTACTACAGTAGTATGTACTCGCTGTAGTAGTAGCTACTATCACTACAGCAGTAAGTACTGGCTGTAGTAGTAGCTACTATCACTAAAGCAGTAAGTACTGGCTGTAGTAGTAGCTAATATCACTACAGTAATATGTACTGGCTGTAGTAGTAGCTACTATAACTACAGTAGTATGTACTAACTGTAGTAGTAGCTACTATCACTACAGTAGTATGTACAGGCTGTAGTAGTAGCCATACTAACTCTATAGCAGTGTGTACTGGCTGTAGTAGTAGCTATACTAACTCTATAGCAGTGTGTACTGGCTGTAGTAGTAGCTATACTAACTCTATAGCAGTGTGTACTAGCTGTAGTAGAAGCTATACTAACTCAAAAAACAGGACCCTGCAGGGTGGGCTGGTAGGAACGAATAACCAAAGAATATAAACATAATGTATTATTACACTTGTTTAGCCAGGAAAGCCCCACTGAGTCAAAATGTTTTTGTAGGGTCCTGCCAAGTGTTTGCAGTAGGGGGCGATGTTGCTACACCTAATCGGACGATACGAAGGGAGAGATTGAGGCCTAGTTCTAGGCTTTAGGTCTAGCTGTAGGCTTTAGGGCGCTGTGAGTTAATTTTGAATTTAAATGTTTTAATGATTTATGTAAAAGCTTTAAATTTAAATGTTTCTATTTAAAAACATGAGGGAATGTAACATTGTTAAACATTAACTCCCTTTCACACACGCGGGGGTACGATACGAAGGGAGAGTTTCGGGCCTAGTTCTAGGCTTCAGGCCTAGCTGTAGGCTTTAGGGCGCTGTGAGTTTTTTTTAATTTCAAAGTTTTAATTAAAAGCTATCTCAGGGAATTATAAGGGAATGTTACACGTGTTTAGCCAGGATAGCGTCACTGAGTCTAAAGGTTTTTGTAGGGTCATGCCAAGTGTTTGCAGTAGGGGGCGATGTTGCTAGACGGACGGACGGACAAACGGACGGACGATATAATCTATTGGTGTCTGGTCCACTTCGTTCCTACCAGTATAATAACGTTTGGTTCTTTCAGTAAAGTCACGTATATAGAAAATAGTAAAAAAGTTAATAAAAAATAATAAAATTAAAATAATGAAAAATAACCATTCATGTAGACTGTAGCCTGATTTTTAAGTTTGATGAGTGTATTGGCAGTCTATAATGTAGACTGTATCAACCAAGAATACGTCTACATTATAGACTGTCAGTATGCTCACCAAACTTAAAACCCAGGCTACAGTCTACATTATAGACTGCCAGTACATTCACCCAGCTTAACTATTGCTGCAGTCTACATAATAGACTGGCAGTACACTCACCCAGCTTAATGACCATTGCTACAGTCTAAACTATAGACTGCCAGTACACTCACCAAACTTAACCAGGCTACAGTCTACATTATAGACTGCCAGTACACTCACTCCGAATCAGAACCAGGCAACAGTCTACATTAGTGGTTTTCATACTCTTTGGTTGTTTCTATAAAGTCACGTACTGAAGGTATGAAATAAAATAAATCACGACGTTTCGGGCACAACAAAAAATAATGAAATTAAAATAATAATAAAACAAATAACCATTATTGTAGACTGTAGCCTGTTTTTTTAGTTTGGTGAGTGTACTGGCAGTCTATTATGTAGACTGTACCAACTGTTTACAGTCTGCCTCAGCAGCAGATCATGCTTTCTCACCTGATGACGGACGCTTGTGTTGCGCCCGAAACGTCGTGATATATATTATTTTATACCTACGTGACTTTACCGAAAGAACCAAAGAGTATGGATTCCTGCAGTCACGAAAGCTTCAAATCAAGATTGGTGGTTTTATTTAATATTGTTACTTATTTTGATTAACTATTTTTTTCCATCTACGTGACTTCACCAAACGAACCATAGAATATGAATCCCTGCAGTCATGAAAGTTTTAGGTCAAAATCTATAATAGTACAAACTTCACGGAGATTAGTGGTGAGGCCTAGTCCCGTGCAGAGCCCCCAGCCTCGCCTAGATTGCCTAGCTGGCCGAGGTGGCACCTTGGCATGCTGGGGCTGGGCTGCTACCCCCCCCCCACCCACGATCCCCCCGCCCACTCTGCAGTAGTATCTACGGCCTATAGTAGTAACATCTACCGACTCTATAGTAGTAACTGCACACATTGGGGTGGTGGGGTGGGGGAGAAGAGAACATCACACTGTGAAGAATTTACCTCAGCGTTTTGTATATTTTTTTATTGCATTTTTAACACGAATGAGAATTTTTCCCCAACTCCACTGATCGCGCGTGTGCATTGCTAGGGGCAACCATGGCTTTGTAGCGCATGCACAAATATGTGCTTTGGCGCACGCTGAGCGGAGTAAGGAAATAGGTTAATAATAATCAATAGCAATACATTGCTAATTTAACTACTTTAAAGTTGACGGATGCGAAAATGGAATAGCGCTGGCTCACCACGGGGCTTATTGCGTGGGACCCGGGTACTTTTTTTTAAAACATGAACCCCACGGTTTGCAAGCCAAATCCTTCACAAGTTTCGTCCACAGATAGACAGACAGACACACAGACAGACAAAAAATGACGTTTATCGGTAAGATAGTATTACAAATCAAACATGCCTTTTGCACACATTAGATTACTGGATAAAGTCCTCAATAACCTGATAACACTGCTTACTGATAATCTAATTACAATATATTGGGGCTTGTTTCTACACAATACATTCTCAGAATTAAAATTGTTATTCTTTGGCAACATTGAAAATTATATTTAAATAATAATTTACGTGGGTTTTTTTTGTTTGTTGAGGGATGTGCCCTGTTCAAGTGGTGCTTCCTTTTTCGTGCTGTTTAGTGGTATGTTTGACGATTATTCGCAAGTGCATCTTATTTCGTATTTCCTCTGGCTCGCTGAAGCGTTTCCAGTGCCTGACTTTCCCGCTCCCACGTGTTGTTTCGATTGGCCGTGCGTGTGACGCGCAGATAATTATTATCAGTTCATAATCTGAATATTTATAGTGGAGGAATTTGAAAAGCTTATAAAGCTCTTTTTCGTAGATGTCCAGTAGGGGCAGGTCAGAAAGTTACAACAACAACAAATAAAAAAAAACACGACAGGTGCAAAGTATAGGAAAGGTAAGCATATTATAAATAAAACTAAACTATTTTATTTAACCAGGTAAAGTCTACTGAGCTATTAGCTTCATTTTCAGCAAGGACCTGGCCACAAATGATAGCTCAACGAAGTGGCTTATCACGTGGAAATTTATAGCAGCCAAATAATCTAAAATATTACCTCATCTCGCTATGATAAATAATTTTACCAAACACAAAGCAAGTTTTAGGGTAATTGCAAGAAAACCTGATTGGAGCGAAGGAAGTTAATAAAAGAGCTGATAGCAGGTCATATACAATAATGAAACGATGTGTATAGGCATACTGGGTATTTTTATTTTTATTATTAAATTCACTCTATCTGTTGCCTGTTCTCGTGCACCTCTAATATTTAATTTATTTGATCCCTCTCCGCCTTCCATAACTACTCTAGGCACACACACATGCACACTCTCCGCTGTGTTTCCAGTTGTCCCTCTCCAACAGATCTGTTCAATCGTTCGGTAAACTCATTGTAGACATCCGTATCTTTGCTAATTCATATTGAGCCTCACTGGCAATCTTTTTTCTACGTGGAACAGAAACATGGACATTGACAAAGAAAATGGAACAAATTGTAGGGGTGCATGGTTGGCATGATACTGAGAAATATGGAGAGATCATATGCAAGTTAAAGACACGATATTGACTTATGTACAGTAGGTAGGCTTAAACAAGAACAATGTTTCTAGAAGGGATGATGAGCAATGGACAGGGAGGGAATGCTTCCGATGGGAAGACAGCCGAATAGTGTTTGTGATGAGGTCGGCTCACGTGCGGGAGTTGGAGCGTTGCATGACATAACGGAAAAGACACGGGGAAACCTTCATCCAGTAGTGGATAGATCACGGCAGATGATGATAATGATGAAAGTATTGTGCATGACAATGGCGAGATTTTTTGTTTATTGCTGGCCCACTACTGCTAACAGAGCTGCACGTGACGTAAAACCATCACCCGGGGTGATATTTGCGATGTGTGCAATAATGCCGAGTTCACATCTCTCGAGTACCTTGTTGAATTTCGTGCAGGGACGTGCCCCCCATACCCACTGGAGCTGGTGTTCGCAGTGGAGATCTCGCCTCAAATGACACGAGCACTCTTTGAGTTGGGGAAGACCTCGATGGTGGAGCTCCTTCGCGATGTGCTCATTGCCAGGAGGAGTTGTCCTCAGGGGGCCCGTGTGGCGGTCGTGACTTACAGCGGCAATGGGTGAGAACCGCAACACTCCGCTCATTCCCCGAGGCACAGTGGTTCTTTACTTAGGGTACACGCACCCGCTGGGGGTGCCAGATGCCCTTTCTAGGGGCGCGAGACATGGTCAGATTTTTCTTAAAAGGTAAATAATCGAAAACACAAATTAAGCACGGGTACGTAAGTGTAGAGGTGATACGCGCTGGGATTAGAGATCGTATGCCAGCGCGTAATGATTGGCTGTGTAGGTGGTGACGTGCGCTGACGGTGGAGGATCAGGGGTCAGCGCGGGGTCGTGGGTTACGGGGTACTGATTGGCTGTGGACCGGTGACGTGCTGAGAGGGAGTGACCGGGTGGCAGCGCGGTGGGATTGGTGGAGGAGTGTTAACACGCGCTGGGGAAACCGGATCGTAGAGAGAGTGCGTCGTGATTGGTTCATTAAGGAGCGATGCTCATGCTGAAGTACGCATCAGCTCCGCCTCTCGTGAGCAAGGGCTATAAAAGGGGATGCACACAGGCGTGAGGGCAGTGTGTAACCAGCGAAGAATGAAGACGGGGATGAAGACCTAGAGCCCTGCGGTACCTAGCCCCGCTGTCCTAAGGGGACCGGGACTCTGTGTAACCCAGAGGCGAGTGTAGTGTGTGTAGCCATAGGTCTACACGAGCCGAATGTATTGTGTGTAGCCAGGCATAGGGTCTACACGAGTCGAGTGTATTGGGTAGCCAGAGGCATAGGGCTTACACGAGTCGAGTGTATTGTGTAGCCAGAGGCATAGGGCTTACACGAGTCGAGTGTAGTGTGTGTAGCCAGAGGCATAGGGTCTACACGAGTCAAGTGTATCGGGTGTAGCCAGAGGCCTAGAGTTTACACGAGATTAGTGGAGTGTGTCGTCGGAAGAAGGAAGACCACACGTTGTATTGTGACACGCAAAGATTTAATAAAAAGTGTGTTACCCGTCAAGAAGTTCCTGCCGTCAATTCCCATACTTCAACTGGCGTCAGAAGTGAAACGGTCTTCCAAGCATGGATACAAGGAGGAACCGTCGGACCCACGGGATTGACCACGGGGACAACCTCGACGACGCGGGTCAACTGGAGTCGGGGGGTGAGGAAGAGGAGTTGCCCACGGGGCAGGATCCGCCGACGGCGCCGGACGAGCCACGGGGGACTGACGCCGTGCTTCGCGAAGCGCACTCCCGTCTGGCGGAGCTGCTGCTCGCCGCCGCGTCCATCTTGGCGGAGATCAGCTCGTCGGGAGGAGCGGGAATGGCGGCCGACGTTCTGCAGGGTCGCCCTGCAGATTCCCGCCAAAACGATTTGGCGATGGCCGCCATTTCATCTGCACCGACTTTTGGCGGGAACGGCCATCACCACGTGGCAGCGGTTCTCCATGCGCGCCCGCTGACGTCACCAACGCGCGCGGCGGACCGCCATCACACACCCGCCGATGGGGCCGCCATCTTACACACCGGCGGGGCGGCAGAGAGGAAGCACGAGGAGGAGGACGACTTCATTTTTCAGCAGCGCCTTCCCACGTTGTCAGCCTTCAAGGCGGAAGGCGGGGATTAGAGCCAATTTCAGCGCAGATTTTTGGCGCATCAGGAGATGTCCGCCTGGTCCGACGCTACGGCACTGCGGGCACTGCCTGCCATGCTGGATGACAACGCGCTCGCGGCCTTCACGTCCGCACGCAGGTCGGACCGCTCCACGCTCAAAGATGCGCTGGCTCTCATGGCCAAGGTCTATGGTCCTCCCTCCGCGTGCCGCCATCATTTTTATGCAAGACGGAAGGCGGACACGGAGACCGTGCTCGCCTACCGCACGGCGTTGCTTGCTCTCGCCGACGCCGCGTTCCCTCGTATGGACGAGGAGGGCCAAGATGCCATGGTTTTGGAGCAGCTGCTCAAGTTGGCGCAGGACCTGGGGGTCCCCATCAACACGGCCGATGAGACCGATATTTCATCCTTACGGGTCGCCACAAGCATACAGGCGCACGAGGTCCTTCAACGTAAACAGGGAGTCGTCTGCAACGCTGCCGTGGCCTCAGCTCCGGGCCCAGTTGTCACCGTGCCCCAAGTCGTCAGCCCACGAGAGGAGGCGTTCATCGCGGGACGACCGGGGGACTGGAGATCGGGGGGTCGGTCGCCTCTGCGAGCGGCCCGCAAGCTGGAGCAACCGAGATCTCCGACGACTGTCATCACCTGCTATAACTGCGGCCTCCGGGGCCACGTGGCCTCCGGTTGCCGCGCCCCACGTCAGCGCGCCATGGGACCTCGGCTGGACGACGACCAAGGCCCCAAGTCGTCCCTGCAAACCCCGGCAAGTCGCGGCACCTCACATGCTCGGCCCGCATACTCGGCACATATGGGTCGTCGCGTTGCGGCGGGGGAGAGCCGAGTAGAGTTCGGGGATTCGGTTCAGAGAGGGCGATTCGGCCGGGACCGGGGAGACATTAAATGGTCGGAGTTGGGGCACAGAATAGTGGCTGCCTCAGCGGGTTCATCCGTAGTTACCGGATCTATTGATGGGGTCGAGGTCAGGGTGTTAGTGGACACGGGGGCATCGGCGACTATTATATCGGATCTCATTTATAATATTCTCCCTGTACAATGTCGTCCGCTTCTTCCGGTGGATGTGCCTTTTTACGCCGCTAACGGGGGATCCTTGGGCATCATCGGTCAGATTAGGGCATCCATTTGCATTGGTGATATCAAATTGTCGGGACCCGTTTTTGTTTCGTCCTCCCTGGCGGTCCCTTGTCTATTGGGCACTGATTTTTTGGCAAAAATGCCCATCAAAATTCTCATTGATCAGCGTTGCATTGAACTACCATCGGGTCGCCGTATTTCATTTTTGACGAGCCCTAATGAAATTCGGACGGCGTGCGCTACCATACAGGCGTTAGCGACACAGACCATGCACGTGCCCCCGGGTTCACAAATGTTAATTCCCCTCCGGTTGCGGAAGCCATGGGTGAAGGAGGCCTCGGAACAGGGCATGCTTTTGGGTCCTTCTAATAGGGCTGTTGGAGGTCTCGATTTGTCGGTGGCTCACACTTTGGTGGGGGCTGACAGGGATCCGTTTGTGATGGTTTTAAACGCTGGGGCGCGGCCGGCCGTCATTCAGCAGGACACCGTGCTAGCTCACGCGGCGCGGGTCCCTGCGGGGGAGAGGCTGGTTGCGCAGGCGGATCCGAGTCCCACGAAAAACGTTACATTGAAGGAGGACCTCGATTGGGTTGATTCGCTGTGCGCGGACTCTGACGATTTATCAGCGGTACAGTTGGGTGCGCTGCGCGGGTTGCTCATTGAATTTTCGGATGTCTTCAGTAAACATAAGTATGACATTGGGTGCACGGACCTGCTACGCCACCACATTGAAACGGGCGATGCGGCACCGGTCAGGCAAAATCCCTTCCGACTGAGTCCTGCTGAGAAGGAACATGTTCAGTCGGCAGTTAACGATATGCTAGAAGCCGACATTATTTCGCCTTCCTCCAGTCCTTGGGGAGCGCCTATTGTGCTCGTTAAAAAGCAGGACGGGTCCCTGCGATTTTGCGTCGATTTCCGTCGCCTGAATAAGATCTCTGTGGCCGACGCGTATCCGCTCCCCAGGATGGACGAGTCTCTCGACGCATTGTCTGGTGCGCGATACTTTTCGACTCTTGATTTATTATCCGGATTCTGGCAGTTGCCACTCGACGAAGAGTCTAAGCCTAAGACCGCATTTCGGACTCCAGGGGGCCTGTTTCAGTTTAACCGGTTACCCATGGGACTTCACTCCTCTCCGGCGACGTTTCAGCGTCTTATGGAATTGGTTTTGACGGGCTTGCAGTGGGATACGTGCCTCATTTACCTTGACGATGTCATTGTTTTCGGTAAAACGTTTGAAGAACACCTCCAGCGATTGAGGGGGGTGTTCTTGCGAATGCGATCGGCTAAATTAAAGTTTAAACCGGCCAAATGCCACCTTTTTCGTAAATCCGTGAGGTACTTGGGTCACATTGTCGACTCTTCGGGGATTTCTACCGATCCTGCGAAGACGGACTGTGTCAGTTCGTGGCCAACGCCCACGTCAGTGTCAGACGTACGCAGTTTCATCGGTTTTGCTTCGTATTATCGCCGATTCGTTGAGCACTTTGCCACCATTGCAAAACCCTTGCACGCTCTAACGGCGAAAGGAGTGAAGTTCCGATGGGGACCGGAGGAGGAGGCTGCATTCTGCTCCCTCCGGGACGCCTTGGTTAGGGCCCCACCCTTGCGCTATCCGGACTTCGCGAGTCCCTTCTTGCTAGACACGGACGCTAGCAACACGGGCATTGGGGGAGTGCTGTCCCAAGTCGTTGGAGGGGTCGAACGAGTGGTCGCCTATGGTAGCAGGGTGTTGTCGCCGGCAGAGCAGCGCTACTGCGTCACCCGTCGCGAACTGCTTGCCATTGTTTTTTTTGTACAACAATTCAGGCCATATCTCTATGGTCGTCATTTCACGGTCCGGACGGACCACGCGGCGCTCCAGTATTCATTGCGGGTCGCCCAGCCCTCGGGCCAATTGTCGCGGTGGTTGGAAGTCCTCCAGGACTATCAGTTCACGACTACGTACCGTAAAGGCTTGCGACACACAAATGCCGATGCCCTGTCGCGGTTGTTGCCTTGTCACAAATGTGCGTGCTTATCGGGATCGGCGCGCTGTAAACCGCCGGTTACGGAAGGTGGGGAGGCGTTGGTTGTGGCCGCGAGCACACCAATTGGGGATGGTCCCGCTACCCCTGGGGGTCAGGACTCGCTGCTCTCAATGTCATTGATTGAGTGGGGCCGTCTCCAAATGGCGGACAGCTCCCTGCTGGCATTGCGCCGCAAGACGGGGGGTTCCGAAGGTAACCACGACCGAACTGGCTCCTACGAGCTTAAGCAAGGCCTATTGATGAGATGGGACAGTTTGTCCCGGCGGCATGCGATTGTGGTGCCTGCTGCTGTGAGGGGGAAGGTTGTCTTGGCCGCACACGAACGCCTCTTGCATTTGGGAGTTAACAAAACGCTTGCCCTGCTTCAGCGTGACTATTATTGGCCGGGAATGGGGGGTGACGTGGTGAACATTCTGAAGGGTTGTGTTGAGTGCGCCAGACGGAAACCACCGCCTGTGCCAGCTAATCCACCGCTGCAATCCATCCAGGTCTCGCGCACTAACGAGCTCGTTGCACTCGACATTCTGGGGCCTTTTCCGGTCACGCCTAGGGGTAATAAGTACCTGTTGGTGGGGGTCGAATATTTTACCCGGTGGCCTATGGCGTGGCCACTCGCCAACCAGTCGGCGGCGGCTGTGACGGACGCCTTTGTCCAGGGCTACGTCCTGGACAAGGGGGCTCCCGAACGCTTGCTGACTGACCAAGCTATGTGGGAGGGGGTGATGTAGAGGTGATACGCGCTGGGATTAGAGATCGTATGCCAGCGCGTAATGATTGGCTGTGTAGGTGGTGACGTGCGCTGACGGTGGAGGATCAGGGGTCAGCGCGGGGTCGTGGGTTACGGGGTACTGATTGGCTGTGGACCGGTGACGTGCTGAGAGGGAGTGACCGGGTGGCAGCGCGGTGGGATTGGTGGAGGAGTGTTAACACGCGCTGGGGAAACCGGATCGTAGAGAGAGTGCGTCGTGATTGGTTCATTAAGGAGCGATGCTCATGCTGAAGTACGCATCAGCTCCGCCTCTCGTGAGCAGGGGCTATAAAAGGGGATGCACACAGGCGTGAGGGCAGTGTGTAACCAGCGAAGAATGAAGACGGGGATGAAGACCTAGAGCCCTGCGGTACCTAGCCCCGCTGTCCTAAGGGGACCGGGACTCTGTGTAACCCAGAGGCGAGTGTAGTGTGTGTAGCCATAGGTCTACACGAGCCGAATGTATTGTGTGTAGCCAGGCATAGGGTCTACACGAGTCGAGTGTATTGGGTAGCCAGAGGCATAGGGCTTACACGAGTCGAGTGTATTGTGTAGCCAGAGGCATAGGGCTTACACGAGTCGAGTGTAGTGTGTGTAGCCAGAGGCATAGGGTCTACACGAGTCAAGTGTATCGGGTGTAGCCAGAGGCCTAGAGTTTACACGAGATTAGTGGAGTGTGTCGTCGGAAGAAGGAAGACCACACGTTGTATTGTGACACGCAAAGATTTAATAAAAAGTGTGTTACCCGTCAAGAAGTTCCTGCCGTCAATTCCCATACTTCATAAGTACAACTACTTTGTTTCATTAAAGCTATGTATTTACGAACATTATACATTTGTTTTACGATTGAGAACCAAAGTGATTCAGGCTGCAGTAAAGGTTAAGAACCACTGCCCTAGGATGTCAGGAATTCCTCTCTCCTCGTGGACCTGTTGTGTGAACTGCTCACATGAAGGGGGAGTTAAAAACACGGAATGAAAAACGAGCTGTCATAAACTACAACAACAAACATGTTGATGAAAAGGAGAGATGTTGAAAAGGAAGAAAAATCCAAACCAAGGAAAGAAACCACGGAGCGATTTAAAAACACCAGGGAGGGAATAACAAGGGACGCACTAGATTATGTCATGGATACAATTTTACGGTTTTGAAAAAAATTACTGAAAATTATTCAATTAAAAAACTTTATTTTACCAGGTAAGGCCAACTGAGCTAGAGAGATCTTTACAGAAGCGACCTGACAATAAATGATAACCCAATTAAGTGGCTTATCATGTGGAAATTGATAGCAGTCATTTCTTCTAAACACACGTTTATTATAAATTGTGATTACACACAGCTGCAACATCGCCGCTTCTGTGAAACGACAGCAGACTGTAACTGTGGAACGTAGCGCCTTCATTTGCCATGGCTCTACGCTATAAGAATATCCCAAACACCAAACCTGCTAAATTAAGATATCGTTTTATGTTGAAGTACTTCTAAAACTTTAAGTAATCAGTAACCATAGACTGATTTAAAAATTCGCTTGCCAAACTATAGTTGATGGCGTTGCCTACACTTTTTAGGATTTGCAGATGAACCGATTACAACTAAGTACAGGTGTAGATTGCCCAAGTTAAGCAGATTGCTCAAGTTAAACATTCTGGGATGTGGAATCGTCCTTCACGTTTCCATCGGTGACAACCACTCTTCATCACCTACAGAAAGTGGCATTGGTCATCCTGCCTATAACAGCAAATATATATATACATCCAGTTTACGGTTCCGGTTTATGAAATTTAGCGATAGATTATATTTTTCCATTTCCGATTTTTGGTTCGGGTTAACCCTGAAAGTTGGACGATGTGAACGACGATGAATAAGATGCAGAGGGTGGTGACAAAATGCAAACAGCACTCGTAATTTCCTCCTCGGTGGAATTCCACACGTGAGTGAAACGAAGGTCTACACGAATCGGTGCCCACAGTGTTTTTCCACCGTGGGCACCGATTCGATGATCACCGCATTGCGCGCCTTTAGATGCGCTCCTGTGGCCGTCTGGAACGATCTTCCGATATTAGGAAGGAAGCCACTGGAACTGTGCACTTTTCAATCTAGATTGAAAACTCGTTTTTTTTCGAACTTCTTTTTTGTCTTAAGTTTGTACTTCCACCCGCACCTCCGATTAGCATGGTTGGCTACGTATGGTGCAAAAGAAGTCCAACATAGATACACTTCAAAGGATTGCTACATATTCAGTCAACCCCCCACAAAACGGAAATCTTACTATTATCTAAAGACACAGTTGTAAACGCCGTATTATTTCTCGTAACCATCAGAGTATATATGACTGTGTGACTTGTGAACGGTTTTCTTAACCACCTTGAGTGATGATGTAAATCATTATATTGTGCTGCGCTTTCAGACCCTCCGCTCAAATTCGACACAAAATCCACTTCAGCGACTACAGCGACAAAGAGACGCTGAAGCGGACCATCAGAGATCTACCATATGTCAGTGGACATAGCGATGCCAATCTGACCACAGCCATGAAGCTCATCGGGAGAAACACTTTCAAGAGAATCCGGTCCGGAATCCTTGTGAAAAAGATGATTGTGGCTTTTACAGCGAATGACTTCGTAGATTACACTTTTAGCGTGTTGCTGACAAGTCTGGCAGCTGAGAACATTTCTGCAGTGTTTGTCGGTTTTGAAAACCAGAAAATCAATCAAATTGACGAGGTAATGCACCATATAGTTTAATGTGTCCAGTGAATGTCGATGTGTATTTGAGAGTAAACTTTGTTATACATTTGATGATATTTTTTCCATAAAACATGTTAGCCCCGATACTAATGATAAATACATGTTACTTTCAATGCAGAATTAAGTGTGAATGCCAATTTTGGAACAACAACAAAAAACTTGAGAAATATGGACTTTCGAGTGGAAAAGTGGAATGTTGCTATTCTAAAAACAAATGGAGTGGCATCCTTGACAGTTTTATTTAAAACAATTTTTTTGCGTGGATCAGTTTACCGTGCATTCACAATGTGATCAGTGGCCATGATTTGGGGTTGCGAGTTAACTCAGGAATAGACATTGGCTGCAAAGTATTGCGAGGGAGTGACAACACACGCTCGAGGGCAAGAGGAACATTTCCAGAAGTGGCGTTGTCAGCTTTAGACATACAATGATTCATCCCCGCCCCGCTCTGGAAGTGATTCAATACATTATCACAATTTGGGGCTAACTCAAGAGAAATAAAATTTCCACATTTCTTTCACTCATGTATGGTTTTGTAAATAGTTGCTTCGCCATGGTGGCAAGATGTTAATACCTCACCTGGTATACAGGAAGACGTGGGTTTGATCCAGACCTTGACGCCTGCTGTAAATTTGGAATTTGCATGTTCACCCCATGGTCGAGTGGATTTTTTTCTTGGTCCTTCGGCTTTTCTCTCCACATTTAGAAACACGAGTGTTTGGCTGTTATACATTTCCATCTAATTATCCACTTTGTTGAGCTATTTGTGGCCAGGTCGCTTCTGAAAAAGAGATGAATAGGTCAGTGGGCCTTACTTGGTAAAAAAACATATGTAGTTTTAGATTCTAATAAACCTGATGACCGACAACGGAATGGGGATGCCTTAATGAAGAAGTCGCTTGACCATCGCTGCAAATTATTGTTATTAATATTGTAATTTCAAATCAATTATTGAAAGAAAAAATAGACGTTTCATCTGCTCACAGGTGCACTTGTTTTCTGCCATCCATTGTCTTTGCAGGGCAGTGACACGTTCTTCCGGGTGTTTGTTCTCCCACAACAAGAAGCAGCTCGAAAGGAAGTATACGATGACATTCTGAAGTGTGCTATTTGTTTTGGTAAATATGTCTTCTCATGTTTTTTTGTATCTGCATGTATACCATGTTTTACATTTTTCTACTACGTAATTTAGTTACTCGAATTGTGTTAATGGTACAATTAATTCAAAGAGTTTTATTAATCAGAATCTCATAAAGGCTTTTGAACTACAATAGTTTTTGCAGTTCACCGGCATAAAAAAACTCCTTCATATTTATGTAGTGAGTCCAACTGAGTCGCAGACGTTATCTTGGGAGCAACACTATTTATTCCGCAACTTAACACAACATCACACAATCTACACTCGGGTCTCCAATGCCCATTTAACCACGCTACGGCAGAACTAGACACAGTTGGCTCTCCCGGCCCGGACTACAAGCTGGGTCCCGGACCGCGTGGCTAGAGGCTTCTTCTCCCCGACGTGGATCTTCACACCAGCACACGAAGAACCTCGAGCTCCAGCCCCTGGGCTGGGGCTGGCTCCGCCCTTCGCCACACCCACCTTCCAGATCTCTCGAGCTCTTTCTCGAAGGTTCCCGAGAGCTCTTTTAGACCACGTCCAGCGGCCCCCATCCACTAGTGGCCCCCCTCCAATATCATCCGGTCACGTGTCAGCAGGTCAACCAGCGTATCATGCCCCAACATAACCCTGGCTGGCTGACGCTCCCACTAGCTCCCTCACCGGAGCCCGCACCGCACACTGCTCGCGGTGCCTCCGCGCTGACCAGCACTCACCCAAGTCCCGCTAGGGCTGGTACTACACCCCGTAAGCAGGCTACACGTCAGCACATCCGCCGTGGCTTCGTAAGCCCGGCACCACACAGTGACAATCACAGTCACTACATTTATGTGAAACTATAAAGGGACTGTAATTACTATTGGAGTAATACTCTTGTCAGTGTTGACGTCAGTCATGCACTAGCCTTGTGAATTACCCTTCAACACGGAGAGGCAGAGGTGTAACCATGCCCCGATTCAAGTTGATTCACAAGTTGAAGATGCGTGCATTGCATCCTATTGAATGTTTCAAAACGGCCGCTCTTATATTTGTATCCTGTATCTGCTTCATCCTCGCCTTGTCCCGTTTATATGGGCCCAGCGGCTCTGCCTCTTAGTCTCGGCCTTGCCCTGTGTGCTGCATCCTTGTGACCTAGAGGCCAAGCCCAATGCCCGACATAACCTCAATCTTGTCTCGTCTCTCCATTTCATCAATTGTTTTCCTGCGACTCCTGCACTACATCAACTACAAAGTAACAAAAAAAAAGATTGTGCTTGCTCACCCGGGAAGAACTCAAAGTCTCAGGACTGTTTTTCAGGAGGGCCCTGCCAAGTTGTTGCTGTTGTATATTCCCAATTGAGTTATTTGTGGGTAATGATTCAGCATTGGGATGTTTGGCCAATATCAGTTACATTGTATTTTTTACTTTTGCTGTGAGAGATAACCAGAGAAAATTGAGAAAATCCACGCAGATTAGAGAAAGAGTATACAGACTCAACACAGAATGGTGCCCGATTCAGAAATCAAAGCTAGACCCTTGCTAGGAGGCGAGAGTTCCACCGCTGTGCCACCCATGGTAATCGATTGTTGTATTGAGCGTGATTACAATGTCGAATCTGACCCCTTGTGTTGGGGAGAGTTTTTACAATGACACACCTGCTAAGTACCTCGCCTGGTATACAGGAGGTTGTGGGTTCGATCTGTACCCTGACGCCTGTAATTTTGGAGTTTGCATGTTGTTCCCGTGGCTGTGTGGATTTTTGTCTGGGTTCTCCGATTTTTCTCTCCACATTTAGAAATTATCATGCGTTTAGAGCATTTGGCTGCTATAAATTCCCATGTGACAAGAAGACACTTCTTTGAGCTTTCAGCTGTGGCAGGTTCTGAAAAAGAGCTATATATCTCAATGAGTCTTACCTTGTAAAATAAATAATAACATAAAATAAATAGTTCCACTGTGCTGTTACATACTCTGCTTGATATAACGACGTTAACAGGCGAGCCGTTTTGTTTTCACAGATATTTGCAAAAAAGGAAAATGTGAAAAAGAGCTTCTTCTGACGATGGACATTGCCTTCGTGATCGACAGCTCAGATAGCATAAAACCCGAAGACTTTCTGAAGATCAAGTTCTTCTTAAGCTCTTTGCTCGACCGCTTCAGTATCTCAGACGACCCCCAGCTTGAGTTGAACAAGTCGCGCGTGGCACTTGTGCAGTACACGCCCGGAGGATTTGATGTAAGCCTGCAACTGACAGACCCCGTGAAGCTCGAGTTCAACTTCACACATTATGCAAACAAGGCGAAAATGAAAACCCACATTGAACGCATGAGGCAAATCGAAGGCACCACGGGCACTGGCCACGCCATCAAGTGGACCCTGGAGCATCTCTTTGGTAAAACGCAAAACGCTCGGAGTCACCGCGTAATTTTTGTCATCACCGACGGCGAAGCGAGGCCCTGGGACAAGGATACTCTCCACAGCGTCGTGCAGGATGCCAAGTGCAAAGAGTTTGCCATGTTTGCCATCGGCGTTGGAAAAGACATCAACCAGACCGAGCTCCATTACATTGCGAGTGAACCGATTAACCAGCACTATATCAAGATCGATAGGTACACCCAGTTGACCGAGTTCAATGTGAACAGCAGGATAAAGAGTATCCTCACGCAGTGGAAAGGTAAGCCGCGACTTTACACTGTTTATAGAGAAATGTATCTGACCTCATTTTAACGATTTGTTTCTCATTGCATTCCATAGACATTGCTGGTGATGTAATAACATATATACAATGGTATCTCAATCAGAGAGACTATGCTTGAACATTGACCTACATGGGAATTTTTAGTATGCCCAAAATGAAGCATTGTCTATTTTTAGCTTTGACACTTATGCAACAGCTCCTAGCAGGGCACGTGGAGCTTCTGTTGATGAAGTCAAATGTCGATTGAAGTTACTTGAGTAGTTCTCGACACAATTGTCAATAACAACACCACTGCGTGTGGCCTTAAAGGAAAACTACAGAATATACGAAATTGCGGGCAATGGCTCTTCTTAGCATGCAAATAGAGGGGCCAGAGAGCGAGAGATAGAGTGAAACGTCACAGTACTCGAATTATAATTCTTGTGGGTCTACTTTCCAACACACTGGTGTGCTAAACTAGTAACTAATCAGCACGTTTTGTTTACATGACAAACCTTACTGATTGGCTGTGTCGGGTGGTGGTGGGTTAGCGACACATTTATATTTACGCAATCTAACCCAAAAACCTTTATTTTGAGATAGAGCAGGTAATAAGGGTTGGAGTCTGCACTAAATATCATGGAGCCTGATGAGAATACAAAAATAAAAATACCTGATCATCAGTTTTAGACTGGCACGTTAATAATTCCCTTTTAGTAGATACCAAATAAAAGTATATCCATCACTTTGGATGTTCTGACGTGAGACGAAGTGATGTTAGTTTCAAGTTCCGGATTAGCATTGTCCTTTCTCACAGCATGATGCTGACAGCACACAATATAATTGAGAAACAAGAGAGGACAAATCCGTATATTTTATGAAAGAATAACGGTCTATTTCTGTGTGCTTGCTTTAATGTGTGCATCTTGTCACTCGCAGATAAAACTTTGATCTACCCATCGGATAAAAGCAAGTGCAGTCGGTAAGTGATGGAGAGATGGGAAGGAGGGAGGGTGGTAGATGTAAGAAACAAAACTGCATTGAAGAGAAAGGGATGTAACATGGAAGTGAGAAGGGGAAAGATTTATGAGGAAATAAAAAAATAGAGAAAAACGACGCTCATTTGCTCTTTTTCTCGGAGGGCCCTGCCAGGTTTTCACAGTAGGGGGCAATGTTGCTGCTACTGGTAGTGTGTGATACCAGTCGAGTATTTTGCGGGTGGTGTTTCAGCATCGCGATGTTTGGCCAATATCAGTTACATTGTACGGTTGAAACCAGAGAAACCCCACGCAGAACAGGGAGGACAACATAGAACCTTCACACAGAATGGCGTCCGAATTGGGAATCGAGCCCAAGTCCCCTTCTTGATGTGAGGCGCGGATGTCACCACGGCGCCACATACAGACAGAGCAGAATGAGCAGAAAGGATGGAGGCGGGGAAGTGAGAGACGGGAACACATGAGAAGGCGGGACTAATTAGAGTTGGGAAAAAAGAGTTGAATATGAATAGCGAGCACGGTGAGTGTGAAACAGATGTGGACCACCACACCCTAATATGCGAGGTAGGACCCGGCCGATCCTGTGCAGGCCAACTACTAAACCTCACACAGCACATCGAAGATGGTTACCAACAGAAGGTGACCACAGCCACAGCGTTTGTTGATCTGTCTGCTGCACATGACACTGTTCAACACCAAATGTTGATCCACAAACTATATCTCATAACTGGCAACCTAGACCTTAGCCAGACCATCCATAGCCTTCTGGAACTAAACAGGCAGAAAAGTAGATGGCGTTCTCAAAAGAATGGCTTAATCACAAGGCAGTGTGCTCGCCCCACTTTTATTCAATATCTACACCAATTATCAGCCACTGACTTCTGAATGTCAGCGGTTCATCTCTGCTAACGACATCTGTATTACCACACAGCAGATAAATTGCGAGAACGCAGAGAAGATCCCGGAGAGGGCACTAAACGAAATGTCAAGATGCTATATAAATAATCATCTCAAACCCAACCCAAATCTGTGCCTTCCACCTGAGAAACTGGGATGCAGAGTGACACCTGAATGTCACCCGGGGAGACCAGAGCCTCGAACACCAGAGTCACCCAGTATACCTTGGGGTAACATTGGATCATATACTCAGCTACAAAAACACTTTAAATACCAAAGCCAAGGCCAACACAACATATTCTGCGAAAGCTCGCAAATTCAAAGTGGGGAGCACATTCATCCACTCTACGCACCACTGCCTTAGCAATTTGTCTCTCTGTGGCTGAATATGCATGCTCTACCTGTAAACATCTCGACACCGCCCTAAATTGCACGTGCAGAATCATATCAGGATGCCTGAGAGCCACCCCTGTTCTCTGCTTATATGTGTGGTGACGTATATTGAGTCACTATGGCGTCAACTGTTGGAAGAAAGGTGGTATTGTACATGTTAGCGTCTCTCTCTGGCATCAGTGTGTGCATGGCATAGAAGCGGGCCCTAGCGGGCATGCTTCGGGTGACGGCCAGAGAGAGGGCACTTATATATATAGAACAGTCTGGGTGAACCCGAGAGGACACGTGACCAGGAGAGGGTAGCAAGTTGGGCCAAGGGGTTGCGAGAGAGACACGCAACATAAGGCCCAGAACCTTCTAGCAAAGCCAGGCCACGTTCAGCGGGCTGTCTCTGGGAATGGAACCCGCCGAGCTACGTCGTCGGTCTTCACGCACGGCATCGTGGACCAGGCAGGGTGTTAACTGATCTGATCCGAGTGTGTCTTGACCCGTGGTGGTTACTACCATATAGTATCCCGTCGAGTAGTTATGTAGTTCCCGTGGTGGTCACCACCTTATGTCGTTATACCGTGAACGTTATATCTAATTACCCCGTTGTATTCAGAATAAACGTGTTGCCTCCAAGTTCGAGTGCGCGCCTCTGTGGAACCCACTACATATGCACTATCTGGCGCCCCCTAACATCAAGAGGAGAGTAGCAGGTGACCAAGACCAGCAAATCCTAGAGGGGGACGTCCATAATCCGCTGCATGGCCATCAGCCAGCACACCGTGTCTGTCATTGAGAAGCAGCTTCTTGTGCTCCACTGTACCACTGACCACATGGCTGGAATCTGACATAACTTCCCTCTGGCAAAAAGAAAACTGCTGAATGGAGCTGGTGAGAAATCATCCCCAGTGAGGAACTCGCATCTGGCTCCAATTCCAAATGGCTCACATGGCAGAGCCTAAACAGATTGAGAGTGGGTTTCGGCAGATGCAACTCTCTCGTGAAATCATGGGACTTCTGCACAATCTAACAATGCGCTTGTCAGGAGAAGCAAACCATGAATCGTCTCCTTAGATGCCCTGCAGCACCACAATGCTCTCCTCAAGATTTGGCAATGCCAACACCAGAAGCGGTGGCCTATGCAGAATATTGGGCAAAAACTATATAGGTTGGACAGGAGACGACGAAGATGACTTCAGTGAGCTATCATTTGTAATAGCCAGGTTGCTTCTGAAAAATATTTACATAGCTCAGTGGGCTTTACCTAGTAAAATAAAATAGTTCTAAGTTTATCGGTGCTTCTGCCATTGGGGGACTGCCTTGACGGGCAGCTGAAGCTCATGAGCTCTGTAGACCCGGAGTGGCTCTACTGCATCGAGGAACCTATAGCAGTGAGGTACTCGGTGAGAGGCAAGACAAAATGTGCCCCCTTCAACCTGACACTGACCAACGTCGTGAAGTATGGTCCAAGCGTCCCCACGACCAATATCTAAATAATAGCAACGGATAGGTGGGTGAAGAAGCATGATATGTTAAAAAAAATCAATGCCTTCTGCATCTGACCATAACTACGCACATAACGTTGTTGAACTTGAAGAGAAATTGGCGAAAATAAGCTGGAGTGTCACGAACATTGATACGTATGATGATTGATCAATTCCCATGACTAATTCTGCTCATTTGACTTCCCCAGTAGCATACAAAGGGACCAATCGTCAGACACCTCAGGTAATGCAAAATCTAACCTACTTGCACAATTGAACTGTCAAATGTAAACACGTACAGCAGTGGGTGCTTGAACACATGAATAATTATCGCAGCGCAGGTGCAAGATTTGTAAAGTTGCAGAGTGGTATCAACGGCAGTGGTTGCGATGACCTCCTTGATCTTTACAGCCACTTATATTTGTTCTTGTCAAGACAACGACTTTCCAGAGGTTTCAGGGAGTGATAGGCCAGTCATTCCCAATCTCAGCCTGCACGCTAGCAATACTCTCTATGGAACTCTCACACCGTATATAGCCAACCGTGCTAATCGGAGGTGCACTATAGTTGAAGCATTCACGTATTTTTCTATAAACAACTGGAGAAAAACAAATTTTCTCACTACAGCGTATCATTTTCATGGGCCAGTGGCTATAGCTGGCATTGATGCCTCAGCTTCTTGACATGGATCTCTATTGGCTACTTGCTTGATAGAAAGGGAATGATTTCACCCACATTTTGACCAAGATTATGTTTCACCCGCCGATAACATTTGCCACTCATTAAGGTAATCAGAGGAATTGTGGGTAATATTGTGAGAGTTCATTATTTTTTACATCTACTGCTGGTGGAAGGGACTGCATTCGAGGAAACTCCAGAATGCATTTGTCCTACTTGTCCACGTTGATGAACATATGTTTTGGAAGAGGTGGGCATTCCCATACTTTATCTAACCACACAAAACCTACCGATAGACTGCAGGGAACCCATTTAGACTGCTGGGTGGACAGGGGTGGAGGCACCCGGATTGCGAGTCCAGTGCCCAACCGTGACACCACGACTGCTCCCTGAAGAGTTCTGCTGTAAATGTGGCATTTTTCAGGATGGTGACGTGTTTGTGTTGTAAGCTCCGTGAAATGTCTTATTTTTATATTAAACGTTCTGAATGTGTTATAAAACTATTATTCACCAAAATGAAACCTATTGATTGAATGTCGCACTACAGTTGCATTATCGTATCGCTATAATAAAAGTACATTATATTTTTATATACGTTTATACAAAATACATACATATGTTTTTAAATGCCCCGATGCTATTAAGGAGTAAAGTCGCCTTAATTAATTAGTTATATGTTATGTTTTGTAGGTGCCTTGGGCAAGAGTAAACTATTAGCTGCAGTCATCAGAGATGTTAACCACACCAGCTTAGTCTTGGAATGGAATGCACCAGACCCAGGCGAATTTCTGGTAACTGTGACGGACAAGGAGACTGGAGACGTGCCGTTCAGGGAAATGACGAATTCCACGACAGCCAATGTGATGGGTTTGACGAGCTGTCATGATTATTTGATACAAATCCAGTCGGTCAACAGCGGAACTCCAGGATTTAGTTACACGGGCAGCCACAGAACACGTGAGTACAAAGTAACATTCAGCACCCCAACATGAGATGCCCACTCATGTCCAAACTTTTTGGTCAATAGCCATAACTGTATCCATAACCGTCTCTACATTATAAGGTTTTCTGCCAGAGCTAAAATAATCATACAATGTATGTATGTATGTTTCACTTATTTCGCACCGTGCGTAGCCAACCGCGGTTATCGGAGGTGCGGGGGAAGGAAACTAAACACATAAAGCAGTTCAAAATAAATTAGTTTTCAATTTAGATGATTTAAAAGTGCATAGCTCCGGTGGCTTCCTAATATCGGAAGGGAGAACGTTCCAGACGGCTGCAGAAACGTATCTGAAAGCGCACGTTGCTCTAACCGTCATTGTTCAATGGCCAGTCAAAGCCGCTGCGAGGATGACCGGATTTCGTGTGATGATTTATGCTCCTTGACGTGATAGATTATGCTCCTTGTATTGCCCTGAGATATCCGTTAGGGCCATCCAAGTTCACTTTCCCTAGAGGTGATCACTGCTATGGTGGTCCGCCACAACTATTGTGAGAGGAGCTACAGCCGGGCTCGCCGCTTTGGGCCGGTTTGTGTGCAGGCGCGGCTCCTCCGTCCTCGGTGTGGACGACCGTGATCAGCAACAGCAGCGTGGCGCTTAGCTGGACTCCGCCCCTGCATGCCGTGCCCACCTCCTACAGCGTGCACATCAACACGCTGCCCTACGGCGATAAAAAGTGCTTCTCGGTCGATGTGGAGCAAACGCGGTATGTTTTTACCGGAATCGCGTCTGATGCTGTCTACAGCGTCGGAGTGAGCGCCTTCTGCGGCACACAGCAAAGCGTGACCGTCAACCTGCAAATCAAAACAGGTGCGTTCTTCAGGAGGGGTTAATCAAACCTGTTTTGTCCACTTTGCTGTAACACAACGGAAGTAGTGGCATGCGACGTTAACAAACACAGCTACGATATCATTTCAGAAATTGCTCATTTTATAACAAGTGTTGCCAGTTAAGTTGCTAAAGAAGCATCTGCCCTCATATTAGGCACTGGTTCTGGCTGCTGCCTTGCCACTTGTGTATGGTTTCCCGCACCTCTGACTCATAATGGAAACTGCGTGTGTTCCAAACTTCGGTATTTAATGATTTTATATACAATCCTGTACCGTTTACGGGATAGGTTATTTCTTTCTGTCATTGAAAGGAGAGCACTTGCCCGTTTCAAATTACTCCGTAACGTGACTAATGGGCACTGCTGAACAATCAAAGGTGTTCCTCATCTGGGAACCAACGGTGAGGGGTAGATTTGTCATCCTGGGCTCTTGAGGTTTTGGGTGCCGTAGAGATTCATCACCGTCCACCGTGCACCTCATGGTGCCTTCACACTCTTTTTGACCTCATTCAGACGTGTGTTCCTTGACCGTGGACAAAGGCAGCTGCCACGAGTTCAAGATGAGATGGTTTTTCTACGCCCACTTCCAAGTGTGTGCCCGTTTCTGGTACGGGGGCTGTGGAGGAAACGGCAACAACTTCATGAGCCGTGAGGAGTGTGAGATGACCTGTAAGACCAGAGGTAAGGGTTCACGAGAGCCATTGTGCGGTCAAACAGCACAGCGGAGCGCACAACACTTAGCATGTTAGTCACGATCCAAAACAAGCAAAGCAATTTCTCAACGTTTTAACTCCGTGGGAATTATGGCCACGGAAACTCCTGCAAGCCAAGGTGAAAACGTATTGAGTGGGGTTGTGCAGCATGGGTGTAATTGGGCTTGATACTGTGACTTGGGTCCTGACTATATTCCAATCCGTAGCTGATCTGATATAATGGATCTGATCCACTGTGTATACTTAAAACAGATGAAGGGTATACGGAAATTGGGCCTTAGGGACACTTTTAGTATTTTGTGGCTCTGGTGGCCTGTAGCTATTGTGTACATGTACCTGTTGGAAGTTGATGAATGTGATTACTCTCATCGAGAACGAACCATGCTTATAATGTTTTATAACCGTATTGTAATTATACCAGAAATGTCGTAGCGTATTTGAGTGATTGCTATTAAACAAATTGTATTATTTCTGTTTGTCTTTTAGGCAGTTCTGACATGACCTTACCTGTGGGTGACATCATGCAGCATGTGAATGTGAAAAGCCTGTCGTGAGTGGTGCTCTGGGAAAGGAGACTCACATTGAAGAAGTGGTGCTAAACTAACAGAAAACCATCTTTCATACACATTCATTATATCGTTTAAGTATATTGTACTCCAATGTTGATCGTATATATTTCAAATCATGTATATTGATGTCATTACAGTTTGCATCCCATTAGGCAGCAAAAAACAGAAATATAATATCAATGTTTGTTCCCGATAACGATTTGAATTCCTTCATTGCTTGCACCCAACTTTTGCAACTCACAAGTAAGTACCGTACTCACTGCACATACCGCGCCATCGTGCACTCACTCTCACCTGCCTCTCCCCTCTCCACTCCCAAAGCCGTAGCGACTACATCGGTAACCTAGGCCTCAGCCAGTGTACTTAGGCCGTGGTGGCGAGATGTTAACTGCCTCGCCTGGTATACAGGAGGTCGTGGATGAATCCCGACCCTGACGCCTGCTGTATATTTGCAGTTTGCATGTCTCTCCCTGTGGTCGCGTGGATTTTTCTTCGGGTCCTCTGGTTTTTCCCTTCACATTTAGAATCAACAAGCGTTCAGAGTATTTAGCTGCTATACATTTCCACGTGACAAGCCACTTAGTTTAGCTATCATTTGTGGCCAGGGCACTTTTGAAATTGAGCAATGTAGCTCAGTGGGCCTTACCTGGTCAAATAAAAAATAGTTTAGTTTACGAGCTCCCTGTCCGAGTATGGTGCTAAACACTTACCTGCCGCAGGCTTTACCACGTGTTTGGACACCGTTCTCAGTCGGGGCAAGTGCAGCAAAGTATAACGTTGTGTCAGGCGTCCCTCGCGTAACGCGTTTGCTCCCCCCCCGCCTCCATAGCGCGAATTCACAGTTATGTGATTCATATTTAAGGGACAAACTTCACGCTTACGCTATGCGTTTTACAGTCACAAAAGTAAAATAAAACATAAAAAAAAATTATAATGAAAGTTCTAAGTTAAAAACTGTCGGAAAGACAGCGTCCCAATGATCATCGCTAAGCTTGGCAGCGTATTTTTAATATGGGTGGGAGGAGCAGAACGCCTTGACATTGGCGTTTACATATCAACAGCTGAGCTATTAACATTAAGTAACTAGGTATACACTACACCTGAGGACGGCTGCTTATTGTTGTGGCCGAAACATCGTGATAATTTTATTGTATTATTTTATTATTTCCCTTCTACGTGACTTTACCGAAAGAACCAATAATATGAATCCCTGCAGTCACGAAAGCTTTAAATCGAAATAAAAGAAAACTAATATTTCGCAGGTTAACCAACCAAAATCTCAATCTGATGGCTTAGCCATTTTAGATCTGAGTAGAAGCAGCCCACGGAAGCGTTCAAAAAGCCCTGAAGTTACTCCTTATTAAGTAATATTTGTAAGTATTAATCTTTAGAATCTTAATTAGTATTTGTCAATAAACTCCTTTTTAAGCAATTGCTGTATTGTTAATAATATTAAGTACTAAATGTATACCTATTTTATAAAACCAGGGCTAAAATAATTAAATGAAGCTTACATTTTCTTCGGTAACGCACCTATCCATATAAATAGGTTTTGTACAGCGCGCTTCGGCTTAGGCGCTGTTTTTCAGGAACGCACGTCGCGCGTTATGCGAGGACGCCTGTTAATGCACGCTGCCCGCCTTCACCGACCCACGCTGATCAACGTTGTGAAGTGTGGCCAATCCGCATGGCGTGGGGAATCACTCATCCAGCAGTGGATTGAGAAAATCAGTCCTGCACGTGAGGGTGCCTATATGTTTAGGATGAGATGTGATGTAACGCGAGTCGCTTATTGTATGTTCGTAAAGTGCTCTAAGATGCCCCGGTGTGAAGGAGGGCGCTGTGTAAAAAAAAAAAATCGCGACACAAATCGGACATCACATATACACACACCACACAAACACACAACTTACAAACCCACAGACGCAGACAAACCGCTTTACACCAGTCACAAGCACACAAGAACTTACAGCTCTTATCTTGCCAATGCACGGTGCTCGTCGTGCGGTCTTGGGGGCGAGTGCTCGTGCCCTGGCATCCTCTTAAATCTAGAAGGTAAGATGTGACGCGAGCTGAAGGATATACGGTGCCAAGGCGTGAGTGGAATAAAGACGGGGTTACGTCTTCGAGGCAAGGTGACGCTGGACGGTGCAAATGTGTGGCGGCCTCGGTGAAATGGACACGGGTAAAAAAAATCGATGCCTCCCACAGTCAACTGACAACCCGTCCATGCCTCTGTTTAACTCCATGCTCAGGAGCCTTGACTTATGGCAAACTGTATTCCCATATATTGTCTTATATGCTGCTCATACTGCATTTCAGCCTCGCCTTATCCTGGTCAAATACCCCCCTTATTATTATGAGGGTATCCCAACCTTTGCATTCTTTCCAGTGTACTGCTCCGATAAAACGTCTTGAGAGCAAATCGACCAAATCACTCTGAATGAAGATTACCTTTTCAGATCTCAGGACCTGATTGGTACTTGGATGGGAAACTGCCTGCGAATACGAGGTGTTATATGCTTTTTACGGATATGTGTGGGTTTTCTCCAGGTGCTCTGGTTTATCTCCCACATGCTGCGCATAATCCCACTCGTTAAGAGAATTGATGAATGCAAGACTGAATAAAGATTAGTGGCTTAATGAGGCTTTCCTGGGAAAATAAAGGGAAAATATTAGATAAGGGCTAGCTTCAGTCTCGCATGAGAAAACCTTGCATACTTAAAGGAAAAGCCTCAATGCCAGCACGTGTTATAACTTATATTATTATGAAGCTTGTTTACCCAGGAAAGCCTCATTAAGTCTCAACACTTAATTAGGAAGGAGGCAAAGTTATGATTAATCCCATTGAGTAATTTGCAGGTACATTTTCAGTCTTTGGATATTTACCCAATACCAGATACATTGTATGAGTTTTTTGCTATGGAAGGGAACTAACTGGAGACCCTGGAGGAAGGCCCATGCAGAACAGGGGGGGGGGGGGGACATACAACCTCCACATAGAAAGGTGCCGGATTTGTGAATCAAACCCAGGCGCTTGTTGATGTGAGGCACGCGTGCCATCACCGCGCCATCCTGCCACATATCACACTTGAGACAGAGGCCAGTGAACCCTATTGACTGTGCAAGTGTTTCTGCTTTAGCAACATTTATTCATTATTAAAATAATAAATACAATTTAATAAATATCCACGCAAGTATGTCTCGTCTGAATATGCATCTTACGGTGTTTCAGTTAAAACCGCATTTTTTCTCCTTCCTCTGCACCTCCGATTAGCATGGTTGGCTACGTACGGTGGTAAAGAAGTTCTACAAATATGTGTCGTAGGTCTCTTCTACTCGAGGCTTTGTGTAGGCCTCGGCAAGGTAAGGTAGTTTACCCTTTTTACCGAGTAAAAGGGTAAAGGTAAAGGGTAACGATGTCTACATGCCAAGGGGTAAGGTAAAGGGTCGGGTAAAGGTAGCTCGGAAGAATTACCCGGTAGGGTAAAGATAGCGCAAAGTATTACCCGGTAAATACGGCACCTTGTTTACCGCTAAAAGCTCCGTCGCGCAGTCCGTGGCCTCCATATAATAAGTAATATTAAAACAAACGTTATTAAAAACACGCTTTTATGAAATGTACGAGTAATGGCAGAACTCCACGACTCCAGGAAGTGGCCCCGAAGCTTGCCATAACGTCAGGGACCGTGGTGATTTACAGCCAACGTCAGTTGAGCGTGGACAATTAGACCCAAGCCGAAACATAACATAACAAAGATTGTTTAAAAAGCTATAGATTTTTTTATGATAGAATATAAAATTGTCATCAGTATGACCTAAGTATACCAAGTTTGCAGTCGATACCACATTAGGAAGTGGGTTAAAATCGAGTTACAAGATTTGAGGATACAACAACAACAATGACAACAGACAGAGTGAGTTAAAAGAAAGCGTGTAAAATTGGAATAATCAAGAGTATTCTATATGATTAAAGCGCTCTACCTAGCATTTACCGTTATAAACCTTGTTCATGTGTAGTAGTTCTCTAGTAATTACCCTGTAATCGGGTAATTTGTATGAGGTAAGGGTAAGCTCGTTGCTTTTTACCTTACCTGCTAAAGGGTAAAAGGTAGGGTAGAGTGATTGTATTGTGGTAAGGTAAAAGGTAGGGTAAAGGTAGGCTCGTTTTTACCTTTTAACTTTTACCTTGCTGATGCCTAGCTTTGTGTGTGCGGGCGGCGTGCGTTGCGCACACACTCAGTCGGAGACTAGGTAGTCGCAGGAGGCACTGTCCTTCCTTTTTAAATCCTTTATATTAAGTTCGCTCGCTTGCTTGCGTGCTTGCGTGCTTGCTTGCTTGCTTACGACCGTGCAAACCTTTCGGTCGTTTTTTAACCCACTTCCCGTGATCCAATCCAGCTGACATTTTGCACACAGACTCGTTGTGCGTGACAATTAATGTTCGTGACATTTTTTTTCCAAAATTTTACACTGTTTAGGGAAAACAAATTAAATATTTAATTACCAATTGTTTAATACTGCAGACAATCATCTGACCCATAGGTGGCAGCCATCTCAAGCCAGAGGACGAGAGGACTCTAGCCGCCACGCATATAAAGGATTTATAGTGAAAAACTTTGTTTTTACTGGTTATACTTATTATTGTTGTGTTCACGCCACCAACTCCAGCCCCCTCTCTCACGACCACGCTGCCGTACGACCCGGCCCAGACACAACCCTGTCCGTGTTGCACCGACGGCGTCGACCGAGACAGCCAACTACTGTTCGGCCGCGCAATGATCGGGTGAAGGCGGCAGCGATGAGGGCGGCAACGACGACAGCGACGAGACAAGTCCACTCCCAGAACCGGCAACCCGGAGCTCTCGCTCTCACTACTTATATTCCCCTTGGCGTGGCTTGGCTCCACCCTAGCCATGCCTCCCTTCCTTAACCCACCAGAGGGTTCCAGGGGCCTCCCCACGAGGCCTGCCTTGACCCTTGTCCCAGTTCACACCCTGCCTGCACACCCATGTATATGCTCAACTGCGTGTGCGCTAAGTGTCCACCTGCAGTTGCAGCTGCTGTACAACAGTCATGCATACGTTCAAAGATCAATGGTCAATAATATCTCGCATTCAAACTATCCAGTAAGGTTCTCAAGGAAACACAAGAACAACGAATTGCCACGCACATCTGTTATAACAACACTGCTCAACGGGCAATAGTCACACAAACTCTCGTACTCTTCATTTGTTAGGGAAGTTAGAACTGCCAAGGGATCACTTCCCCAGTTCAGATAAATTAGAAACAAAAATATTGGAGGCGTAGGAGTAAAACAAAAGATGTGTAATGTGAGGTTATATCCGGGTTGTTGACGGATTACAACTCGTCACGACGATTGGCTCTACCGGTCCTGGTTCATAGCCAATGGGGGGAAGCCTAGGGGCGTGGCCCTGACGTAATGGAAAGGTGACAGCTGGTTGTAGAGGATTGGTTCTACTGGCTTTAGCCACAGCCAATGGGGAGACGAGTCAGGGGCGTGGTCCCGGGAGCCTCTAGAATATTCCATGGAGGCTAACCAGGATTGGTGGAAACGTACCACGTGACCCGGGTATTAAATATGGGTGGAGACATACGACACGTGGTCAGAACGGGAACGAACAGAGGAAGGGGGCCACGCGGAAGCGGGGCTCCGGGTTGCCACGTGGCAGTGTGTCTCTCTCTCTATCTGTCCCTCTCACGCTGCCTGTCAGCAGCGTGAAGGAAAGCTGTAATGCAAGGTTGAATAAAAGACCGGATGCCAGAAGTCGCCTCAACGAGCTTTATTACATTGGTGTCAGAAGTGTCTCTTGAGACCGTTTGGACGATCCTTTAAGATGCCCAAGCACCTCAAGAAGAAGAACCCACTGGACCCTCCGGCAGAGGAAGAAGTTGAGGCGGATGAGGACGAGCTGCTGGGAGCTGCGGGTCCTCTGCCTCCGGCTGCTGCTCTCCCCGACGCCGCTCATCGCCGACAGGCTGGAGAAGCGACGTCCTCAACTGCGGATGAGGGATGGCGACAACTGGCGGAGCAAATTGATTCGCTCCGTGCGATTTTGCTGAATCTGGTGACGGCGGTCGCATCCTTAGCGGCCCTCGTGCAGCCGCGTGGATTTCAACCAAGTGCAGATGACCAGGATTTTCAGCGGGAATCGACGTCCGCCATTGTTCCTGCCGCGCAGGGAGAGGCCTCCATCTTAGGCGGGGCTGCTGCGATGAAGCCGCCGGACGCCATCTTGGGAGGGCCTGCTACCACGCGGCCGCCGGATGCCATCTTGGGCGGGGCTGCTGCGATGAAGACGCCGGACGCCATCTTGGGCGGGGCTGCTGCGATGAAGCCACCGGACACCATCTTGGGCGGGGTTGCTGTCACGTGGCTGCTGGACGCCATCTTGACGGAGCCGCGAAATACGCGGGAAGCAGGAAATAGAGACGCTCGAGGCGTCGAACATTCACCGCGGACATCGCCTTCCTCAAATCAAGGAATTTGTTGCCGGGGGCGATTGGAGTGCGTTCACGTGGCGGTTCGAGTCAGCCTTTCGATCCGTATGATGGACGGAGGTGGAGGCACTGGAGGCGCTGCCCACGCTGCTAGATGATGTCTCCCTGGCGGTCTTTCGATCCATCCCGGCGACCAAGAAGAAGACGCTTCGTGACGCTTTCACGGAAATGGCAGAGTTTTACGAACCGCCGATGGCGGCTACCAAGAAATTTATGTCACATCGTCGAGGACCAGAGGAATCGCCCTTGGCGTACCGAGGGGCGCTGTTAGCGCTTGCCATGGCCGCCTACCCCGACTCGTCAGCTGATCTCCTGGATCCTCACATCCTTTCCAGAATGATTATTGTCGTGTACCTGTGTCGATGCCGCACTCTGTGACACAATGGAAAAAATTGGCCCATAGGGTGGTGGCACCCCGTACCGTCGATGGCGTCGATGTTCGTATTTTGGTAGACACTGGCGCGTCTGCCACCATCATTTCCGATGTAATTTTTCATCTCCTGCCCATTCCTACGTCACGGATCCGACCGGTTAATGATGCGTGCGTTGCTGCTAATGGGGGTAGCATGGGTATTTTGGGGCAAGTTGATGTGCGCATTGCTATTGGGAATATCACCGCGGAGGGACCAGTGTTGATTTCTCGTTCACTGGCCGTCCCATGCCTATTGGGCACCGATTTCTTGCGCCGCATGCCAATTAAGATACTCGTCGACCAAGGTTGCTTAGAAATGCCAGGGGGCCGTAGGATGTCGTTCTTGCCTTCCCTGCTGGGCCGTTCGCCCCCGGGTAACGCGGTTAACGCGATTGTTGCTGCCACGGTGGAGGTGCCGTCGGGCTCGCAAATGCTTGTTCCGCTGCGTTACCGAAAGCGTTTGGATGCTGCGGACGGTGCGACGGGTGTGCTGTTGTCCCCGTCGAATTCGGTGGCAAGATCCTTTTCTCTAGTAGCGGCTCAAACTATCTTTCGGCCTGGTCAGGCCCCGTTTATACAAGTGTTAAATGGGGGCCCGAACCGGGTCGTCGTCCCGGCTGGATCGGTATTCGCTCACGCCACTACCGACTTCATCAGCTTTGAGGGGGAACCAACCACTAAAATGGCCGCTAGCGGGCCACGATACGATCGTTCACACGATCGATGGATCGCGGAATTGTGCGGGTAAAACACATCTTTGTCGCACACGTAAAGAAGCGCCTTGCAATCATTATTGTCGGAGTACGCTGACGTTTTCAGTAAAAACTAATTGGATCTGGGCCATACCTCGCTCTTGTCACACCACATTGACACCGGTGCGGCGGGACCGATTTGTATGCACCCGCATCGCATGAGCCCTGCTGAAAGGGAACACGTGCACGGCGCGGTGGACGACATGTTGGCGGCCGATATAATTTCGCCGTCCAACAGTCCTTGGGGCGCGCCGGTGGTGCTGGTTAAGAAAAAGGATGGTGGAACGAGGTTTTGTGTAGATTTCCGCAGATTGAATAAGATATCCGTGGCAGACGCATACCCCTTGCCACGGATGGACGACTCGTTGGACGCTTTGTCAGGGGCAAATTTTTTCTCCACCCTCGACCTGTCGTCTGGGTTTTGGCAGCTTCCCCTCGATGACGCGTCCAAACCTAAAACGGCGTTCCACACGCCACAAGGCCTCTTTGAGTTTAACCGCTTAC